GACGGGACGTGACGTCTCCGTTCCCTCCTTCAGGGAACAAGGGTTACCATACGTAACCGAGACGTGCCCTTTCAGTCGGTCACTCTCGACGTCACGTTGGATGACCGACGAATTGGGATCCTACCAAAGGGCCACAGCTACCGCCCCTTCCAGTGTCCTGTGGAAGCCAACTACGCCCATACTTTTTGGCGTAGGCCAGGGCCTGCACAAGAGGACCAACTACTGCTACTATGGCACTACCCACTGAGTAGACTGGATAACTCTGGGGAAACGCACCCGTTCTACTTGGAACAGGGACGTTACGGAAGCTCGAACCTTCCCGAAGGAGGTTTCGGAGCAATACACATATGGACATCCCTTAGGTGCATATGGAAGAATGGAGGTGATTGAACCCTCTTGGAATGGCAGAAGTCTGCCGGGGAAACACGGGCTCAATGCTATACCGTGGACTTTACACATATGGGATCCACTTAGGTCTTACATATGGAACCCAGCCTTCTACCGGTTCTCGAGGATTCAGCGAGTGAAGGCCTGGCGTCGGACGCTCCACCACATCTGGCTGCCGAGGGGACGGAGGAACTCAACAGGGTCTACTATATGGAATCTCCCCACCCAGCACCAGACGTCATTTGGACGTCGTTTTTTGGGCTAAATCAAGTCGGCCCGTCATGGACTTCTTTTAGCCCAAAAAGCGACGTTGAAAATTGGTCTTTGTTTGGTCCGTCGGATTTGGTCCAAATTTAGCCCTAAAGCGACGTTGAAAATTGGTCTTTGTTTGGTCCGTCGGATTTGGTCCAAATTTAGCCCAAAAATCGACGTTTAAAATTGGGTTTTGTTTGGTCCGTCTAATTTAGTCCAAATTTAGCAGAAGCACATTTATTTCGGACGACATAACCCTAATAAATAGATTAGACATTTGACATGAAGCACTGTTGAATATATTGAAATATATTTTGAAAATATATTTAAAAAATACATAAAGCTTAAAAATTGTTCCTCATGATACATGTGTACGGACATTCATGCGTTAAAAAAGTCAATGCTATTTCTACACCACGTTTACCATTTCTAAAGCTATTATTATATTATGATGTTATAAATTCTGCGTGACTTTTACGTGCTTTAATGGGAGCGGAGGAAGTCACCATGGAAACGGAGCTGCAGCTCAACTGTGAGCAGCAACTCCCGTCTCTCATTGTTTTTTTTCACTAATTTCAGGTAAGTTTAGTCTCTACAATTACACAAATACTACATACAAGCGTTCATGACACTTTATTTCATGTAAATGACACGCGTCCGTTGAATATTTACTTTATAGAAATGGTTAACGTTAACTGTCTTCGGAAAAAGTCCGTTAGCATCTCAACCGTAAGGCTAACTATAAGGTTAACTAGTTATAGACTTGAGCTCTTCTTTCTGAAAGTTTGGGCTTTTAATGTCATCTT